TTTTGCGTGGATTGGGGCTTCTGAGCCGAATCCCGCAGCGCAGGAACCAAGGTGCACCTCTACCCTGTGGGCCGCCAGCCCCGCACACCCCCGCGGGCGAGCGAGTGGTTCGGTCTGATTCCTTCCCGCTAACTGGGAGGTTGGGGCCTTGTCCGAGGAACTGGGAGTTTGGGAGCGGGTTGCCAGGGCGCGACACAGGGTCTGCGACTGGCCTTCGGCTCTTGTGGGCGCCTCCACCTTCGGCGCGGGAGGGAAGAGAAGACCTGCCGCAGGCGAGTCAGCCGGCCATCTGCCCCCCTCTGCGAAACCACGCATGGGCGAGTCCAGACACTGGGTGCAACTGTCGCGACTTCCGGTTCCGATGACAGCAGCGCCGGAAGCCGGGCCCCGGCTGCAGGACTAGGTGAGTGCCCTGGGGCTTCTGGGCCCGGAGGTGCTGGCCCAGGGCGGCTGGCGGAGGCTTGGGGGGCGGCGAGGGATGCGGCGGCAGGGCGAGCGCAGGGCGGTCGGCCTCCCAGGCTCAGGGCCAGGGAGGGCAATTCATCCTCGGATTTGTTCTCTTTGCAGTCTTTGGCCCCGGCCCGGGGGCTGGAGTCCCACAGAATCATAGGACTCCCCATCCTCGTAGAGCTTCTTCAAGGGGTGGAGTCGCTGGGTCCCATCCTAGTACGACCCCCTGGGTCGGAGGTAAACAGCTGCGGGAGGAGGGGTCCCCGGCAGGGCATTTGAACCGGGTCTTTTGAAGGATAAGTGGGAGTTTGCCAGTCATTTGCACGTTAATGCAGATGTAATCTCAGTAGGGTCTTGCTGCTCAGGCAAAATGGTGGGCTTTTTCCTCCTTCCAGTTTTGGTCAGTGAGAAAAGAGATTTGAAACTTCAGATAGAGATGTGCAATGAAGAAAAGGAGCAGGGCCGTATAATAGGGTGTCTGGTGTGAGGTTGAGGCAGAGGGGTCAGATTATATACTGTGGTCTAGGAAAGCCTTTCAGAAAAGATGGCATTTGTGTTGAGATCTGAATAAAAAAGAACCAGCCGTGGGAAGAGATGGGAAAGTGATCCAGGCTGAGGGAAGAATCAGTACAAAGGCCCTGAGGCAGAAATAAATTGGATGTAGTGAAAACAACAACAACAACAACAACAACAACAAAACAAAACAGAAGGCTAATGTGGCTAAAATGAAGCATGTGAGGGGAAGAGTAGTGGGGTGATGAAGTTGGAAAGGTAGTTGGGTGGGGTGTGGGATTGTTCATGTAGAATCTTGTAGGCCAAATAGAGGGAGAGGATTTTATTCCATGTACAGTGGAAAAATCTATTGGTTTTGAGCAGAGGAATGTTATGTAAGGTGGAAAAGATATAAGGATGGCGACTGTAAAAGTACAATAATTAGGTCAATGGAGGCAATGGAGATAAAAGGCAAAAGGGACTAGTCTATGATTGGCACAAATTTCCCTTCTTCCCTTCCCAGGAGCCCTCTTGTTTTGGGATGCTTAAAACTAGGGGCAAAACTCCCATGCCTGTTTAAGTGAAGATTTAATACTTCCCTCATGTGTCTTTCTGTTCATACCTACAGGTTTGAGCTCAAGCTCTCTAGGTCAAAGATTAGGGAATGGATGCACTATTTATTTTAATTAATTATATTGGTACTGGGGATTGAATCCAGGGATACATTGCCACTGAGCCCAGTTGCTCAGGGCCTCATTAAATTGCTGAGGCTAGCCTTGAACTTGTGATCCTCTGCCTTAGCCTTCTGAGTCTCTGGGATTATAGGTAAGAGCTACCATGTCTGGCAGATGCACCATTTAATCAGCAAGTACTTACTGAGCACTCATTCATGAGCCAGGCCATGGACTGGGCACTGAAGGAAGGGAGAAGATGGGACTAATGTTAGTCTTTGAGAGCTCATAGTCCAGTGCAAGGAGATAGATGTATGAACAGATAGTTACTGTGTCACAGTAGAGACTCAGATGTGTGTGGTGCAGATGCCCCTGGACAGGCTTGTGAAGTAGAAAAGGAGGTAGGGAGAGGTCATTGAGGGTTTCATGGGGAGCTGATAATTAGCTCATATTCTCCATGCAAAAAAGAAATACATAAGCTTCTCTAGAATAGGAACAGCTTGTGCAAAGGAAGTGAATACATAATTACAAAGGAATTGTGTCTCAAGCCATGGCAGTATTGAGCAAAGGGGTGACAGGATCAGTATTTTGGAACTATCACCCTGGTGGATAATTTCTGTACACTGAGGTCTTGGGGAGGGAGGCTTAGGATCAGTGGATGTGAAATTCCAGGCATTGGCATTTATATTAATCATGCAGTTTGTCAAAGACAAATACACACATTCTTGTGTTTGGTGAAGATGATGGATTGATTTAAGCAGCATGGTTTGTTCCAAATGGACTGAATTAGCCTCTTGGGCTCTTTGGATTGAATACCTGCAGGGAGTCCTGGTTTCCTGACTCTTTTATTTTTAATTGAATTGAATTTGATTGATTGATTGATTGATTGATTACTGTGCAGGGGATCCAACCCAGGGCCTTGCACATGCTAGGCAAGTACTCGAATACTGAGGAACACTCCAGCGCCTCTTTTCAAATTTTTTTTTTTATTGAGTTAATAACACATTTCAATTCATAGTATATTTAATTGGTCCATGCAGGTCCCTTTCCTTTTTTCTCTTCTTGTATAGGGGATTGAACCCAGGGCCTTGCACATGCTAGGTAAGTGTTCTGCTGCTAAACTACATTCCTAGCCTTTTCTTAAAAACAAAACAAAACAAAACAAAAAAACCCAACTCACTAAGTTGTCCAGACTGGCCTGCTTCAGCCTCTAAAGTTGTTGGGATTACAGTCATGCTCCACCACACCTGGAAGGACCTTTTTCTTGTTTGCATTTATGTGTGTATCCCCTTATTATCTCCATCCCTCCCTTTCTCCCCACTATAGGAAAACACTCTGATGTGTTTGGTGTATAGTCAGCCCTCCACATCCATGGGTTCTCATCTGTGGATTCAAGAGATCACAGATCATCAGGCTGGGGATGTGGCTCAAGCGGTAGCGCGCTCGCCTGGCATGCGTGCGGCCCGGGTTCGATCCTCAGCACCACATACCAACAAAGATGTTGTGTCCGCCGAGAACTAAAAAATAAATATTAAAAAAAATTCTCTCATCTCTCTCTTTCTCTCCTCTCTCACTCTCTCTTAAAAAAAAAAAAAAAGAGATCACAGATCAGAAATATGCAGAATAAAGGTTGTGTCTGCACTGAAGATGTATAGTCTGTTTTTTCTTGCCATTATTTCCTACAGTGTAACAATTATTTTTATAGCATTTACAGTGTATTAGGTATTATAAGTAGTCTAGAGATGATTTAAAGTATAGGAAAGGGGCTGCTGGGGATGTAACTCGGTGGTAGAGTATGTGTTTAGCATGCTCAGGGCATAGGGGAGAATGTGTAGGTAATGTCAAATATTACATCATTATTTCTTTATTTTTTAGTCCTTGATGGACTTTTATTTCCTTATCTATATGTGGTGCTGGGAATCAAATGCAGTGCCTCACACATACGAGGCAAGCGTTCTACTGCTGAGCTACAACTCCAGCCCCTATGCCATTTTTTAAAAAATATTTATTTTTTAGTTGTAGTTGGACACAATACCTTTATTTTATTTGTTTATTTTTATGTGGTGCTGAGGAGCGAACCTAGGGTCCTGCATATGCAAGGCAAGTGCTCTACCGCTGAGCCACAACCCCAGCCCCTCCTGTGCCATTTAAAAAAAATTTTTTTTTTTTTTGGTTGTAGGTGGACACAATACCTTTTATTTATTTATTTATTTTGAACCCAGCACCTCACACATGCTAGGCAAGTGCTCTACCACTGAGCCTTGACACCAGCCCAATTATGCCATTTTGTATTAGAAACTTGAGCACCCATAGTATTCTAGGGAAATCCAATCCCCTACAGATACTGCAGGACACTGTTTATCCTTTTATTTGGTGTATATTTTTTATTTGCCTTAGTTGTATGCATATGTTTTAAGTTTTTATTTAAAACACCTGGACTTCATTTTATTTCCCGTACCTCATGACCATGCTTTGGGATCTTCCTGATGAGGCTGTGGATATATCTAGAATACAGTTTCTAAGTGCCACACAGATTTCCATAGGTGCACCCCCACTTTTTTACTTACTTACTGATTCTTCTAGTGATGAGGCCCCTAGATTTTTCTCCTAGTCTTTGCTACAACAAACAATGCTGGGATGAAAAGCCTATGCCCATCTCCTTCCTCAACACTCCTTCCTCACGCCTGGGGCTTGAACCCCGGGGGTGCCTAGCTACTGAGCCACATCCTCAGTCCTTTTTTATTTTATTTTGAGATAAGAGTCTTGCTAAGTTGCTGAGGCTGGCCTTGAACTTGTGATCCTCCTGCCTTGGCCTTGTTTTTTTATTTTAAGACAGGGTCTTACTAAGTTTTCAAGACTGATGTCGCTGGTGATCCTCCTGCATCAGCCTCGTGAATCCTTTGGATTATAAATTGTGCCACCATCCCTGACTCTTTCCTCAGCTTTTTAATGAAGTCTCAAGATGCTGCTTTGGGTTTTCATGGTCCAAATGTCACTCGATATCCAACAGGACCAGACCTTTTGACCTTGGTAAGGTCCTGACCTTTTTGAGACATGTTTATTTTTGGTAAATTGGGACTCTGGTTCCCAGACACTTAGCAAACGTTCTTTTGTCTTGCCATCTTCCCTAGCAGATGGTTCTCACAGGCTCTGTGGTTAACTTCCTGTTTCTTGTTATCATTAATGGTTACTATACATTGATTCCAACCACAAGAATTTGCTGCTTTCCTTTCCTAGTAAAATAGTGACCTGTTAAGCTGGTTCTGGCCATACTTGTAATATGAAGTACTTTAGGGGCAGGCTTTGGAGCCTAGAGCCAGACCGCCTGGCTTCATTTCCCACTCCTCCGCTTCCCAGATGCTGTGACCTTGGGCAACTTATTTAATCTTTCTGTGTCTCATTTTCTCATCTGCAAAGTGGGTCTAATAACTGTACATACCTCATATTGTTTTTGTGAGAATTAAATGAATGAGTTAATGCATGTGAAGTCATTACAGCAATGCCTGGTACATAATAAGCTCTTATGAAATGTTAGCTATTAATAATAGCAATAAAATTTTCATATCATTTTAGATGGGAGTCTATGTTACCTTTTGCCCACACTGGCACATATCCAGTTATAGTGTATTTCTTTGGGGCGGGGTGGCATTTCTTCTGGACACCATGGTTACAAATTTTAGTGTGTTTGATAGCATCAGCTATAAGGAGAGAAGGTTAAACATATCCCAAGGCCCCAGGTGCCATTTCCTTGTTACTTGTTCCCTGTGTCTAGGGAGATAGGGTTATAGAATGGGACTGAGGTGATGAGGCCAGGCCTGGTGGTTTTGCTGGAAATGGGGAAGAGTCTGGTGAAAGTGGGAAGATTCTGATGTTCATCTTGGACATAGAATTTTCTTTATGATGTTACTCTGAATCCTCTTTTTGGTGTGTGTGTGGTGGGGTGGGTACTGGTGGTTGAACTCAGGGGGACTCCACCACTGAAATATACCTCTAGTCCTCTTTTTTTTTTTTTTGAGAGAGAGAATTTTTTATATTTATTTTCTAGTTTTCGGCGGACACAACATCCCTGTTTGTATGCGGTGCTGAGGATCAAACCCGGGCCGCACGCATGCCAGGCGAGCGCGCTACCACTTGAGCCACATCCCCAGCCCACCCCCAGTCCTCTTTATTTTTTATTTTGAGTGGGGGTCTCACTAAGTTGCCCAAGCTGGCCTTGAACTTGCCATCCTCCTGCCTTACTTCCCGAGTTGCTGGGATTACAGGTGTGCACCTGTACTCCTTAAGAGAATGACAACTGGCTAGATTTGACCATTTTAGAGGGATGTGTAAACAGTCCCCTCATTTCAAGTCCTATAGATATATGAGGAGGGAAATTAATTCTGTCACCAACATTTTGAAGATTGTGTGTTCGGTGTCAAAGCCTGCTCTAAAATGGTGGGGAGCAGTGACCTAGGGTGAGAAGGGTTTAAGAAGAGGGCTAGCTTCCTGTGACATCTGACAGAGAAAGATGGGCCAGAGAGCAGACCAGGGGGAAGCAACATGTATCAGGGCGTCGGGCTGTGAGAATGAGGGTTCTGGTTGGTTGGGCACAAGATGCCTATCCATGAGCTAGCAGTGGGGGTTGGCTGACACTAGAGGGAAAGGCCAGGCCCATCAGACCAACATGGTTGGCAGTTATTCTCTAAGCTATATTTCCAAATATTATCCATTCAAGGATTGCCTTGATGGTTTGTATCACTGTAGTATATGGATAACCAGTTTCACAAACTGTAAGAGGTGGCCATAAGGAATATAAGAAATACATGAGATATGACCCTGTGCAGTATATGGGTTTCTAGTTAGACTGTATAGCCTGCTAAGGATTGTGTGAGGCCTGCTCTGTGTCCTGATTTAAAAGGGAAATGAGCTAGATGTGGTGGTGCATTCCCTGTAATCCCAGTTACTCAGGAGGCTGAGGCAGGAAGAGCACAAGTTCCAGGCCAAACTCACCAATTGAGACGCTCAGAACCTTAGTGAGACTCTGTCTCAAAATAAAAATAAAAAGATCTGGGATGTAGTTCAGTGGTTATGAACCCTAGTATCAAAAAAGTCAAACCAAACTAAAAACTGAACAAACTGGGTATGGTGGTACACACCTGTAATATCTGTGACTCAGAATACTGAGGCAGGAGGATCACAAGTTCAAGGCGAGCCTCAGCAACTTAGTGGGGTCCTGAGCAACTTAGTGAGACCCTCTCTCAAAATAAAAAATAATAAGGGACTGGGATATAGCTTAGTAGTAAAGTGCTCCTGGTACAATCCCTAGTACCAAAAAAAAAAAAAAAAAAAAGGAATCCCCTGCTTAACAAAACAGATTTGGTCCACAGCTTCCCATCCATCTACCCGGGAGGACACCAGACTTATATAAGGACAGGATCAAGGGTTTTTTTTTTTTTTAATACTTTGTTTTTGGTTCATGTTTTGTAACAAAGCATGTGCCACCATACCTAGCAATGCAGGGGATTTCTGAATATTGATATATGATATGGGAATGGTGAGAGGGATCTGAATAAATGGTCTGGGAGCTCCCTTACTGTGTCACCCTGGTCCATTTCGGGCTTGACCCAGTTGACATTCCTCAGGCAGAGGCTGTCATGGAGCAATGTGCATGTGTGGAGAGAGAGCTGGACAAAGTCCTGCAGAAGTTCCTGACCTATGGGCAACACTGTGAGCAGAGCCTGGAGGAGCTGCTACACTATGTGGGCCAGCTGCGGGCTGAACTGGCCAATGCAGGTGGGTGTCCACCCCTGAGAGATCCCCATACCGGACTTCCTGTGGATGGGGGAGATCTAGGGCTACTTGGTGACGTGGTCCGGGAAGGATGATTAGGACATTGATACATATACCTCTAAGCCTCTTCAAATGGGTGTAATGGCATTCTCTGAGCTCTTTCAAAAAGCCCAACCAAAATTATTAATTTACCTGAAATTATTCTGTTGTGTTTATTTTTTTTGGTCCCCTTCTTTCTTTTTTTTAATTTGGGTACCAGGGATTGAACTCAGGGGTGCTTAACCACTGATCCACACCCCCAGCTCTTTTGCATATTTTATTTAGAGACAGGGTCTCACTGAGTTGTTTAATGCCTCACTGAGGTTGAGGCTGGCTTTGAACTTGCGATCCTCCTATTTCAGCCTCCTGTGCCACTGGGATTACAGGCATGTGCCATCGTACCCAGCTCTTTATTCTTTTTTTGATGGTGCTAGTGATCAAACCCAGGACCTCGTGCATGTTAGGCAAGCACTTTACCATTGAGGTACATCCCCAACCTATCTCTCTTTTGAGCTACAATTCATATATCATTAAGCTCACTCTTTTCGAGTATACAATTCAGTGTTTTTTAAGAATATTTACGAAGTTGAACAATCATTACTACTATCTAATTTTAGAACATTTTCATCATCCCCAAAAGATACCCAACCCATTAATAGTCTGTCCATTCCTCCCACTAACACCCTGGCAATTGCTTATCTACTTTGTCTGTATAGATCTACCTATTCTGGACACTTTATATATATAGATTCATACAATATGTGGCCTTTTGTTTCTGACTTCTTTCAATAGCATAATGTTTTCAAGATTCTTCCATGTTGTAGCATGTACCAGGACATCATTTCTTTTTGATACAGGATCTTGCTATGTTGCTCAGGCAGGTCTCAAACTTGTAGACTCCCGTGATCCTCCCGCCTCCCAAGAGCAGGGACTACCACCATGCCTAGCTTTATTCCTTTTTATGGCTAAATAATATTGATTGTATGGATAGGCCACATTTTATTTATCCATTAGTTGATAAACATTTGGGTTATTTCTTATTCACATATAAGATTTTGGGTGGCCATCACTTTTATTTCTCTTGGAAGTGGAATTACTGGTATAGAGTGGGTCAGTATTTAACTTGACAAACATATAATTCTGTGTATGAATGCAGTACATGAGCTAAAATAGTCAACTCACATTAAGTGCCAAATTGTCTTCATTTTATAGCAATCTATAGTTTTTATAGATGAAAGAATGAAAGCACAAGGGATAAATTGGCTTCTCCCACTTGACCAGTTCCAAGTTAAAAAGTGGCAGGACCTGAAATAGAAGCTAGATATTTCACTGTGGAGTTCAGGCGCTAGGCCGGCATTTAGCAATGAACTACTTCCTCAGCTACTATTTTTTTTTTTTTGGTGGTGCTGGGGAGCAAATCCAGGCCTCATGCTTGCTAGGCAAGCACTTTTTTACCAGGCCAGCATTTAGAATAGAGGAAGCAGAAATGGATCCTCTGTGTCCTGACTTGCTCCACTGTTTTTCTGAAGCACTCCAAGGGACCCCTCTCTCAGCTACCCTCTCCCTGGTGATGTCCCAGTGCTGCCGGAAGATCAAAGACACTGTCCAGAAACTGGCTTCAGACCACAAGGACATTCACAGCAGCGTGTCCCGAGTGGGCAAAGCCATTGACAGGGTGAGCATGTGGGCAGCCCGAGGACTAGGGGTGGGAATATCCTGGAGCTTGGCAGGAGAGCAATTGTGGGCACTGAAGTTATTGGGCCCTATCTCTCCTTGTCAGAACTTTGACTCTGAGATATGTGGTGTAGTCTCCGACGCGGTATGGGACTCACGGGAGAAGCAGCAGCAAATTCTGCAGCTGGCCATTGTGGAGCACTTGTACCAGCAGGGCATGCTCAGTGTTGCTGAGGAGCTGTGCCAGGTAATGACTGTTGCCAGGAATCAGGTGGGCTGGGAAGGTGCTGAGGGTACCTACTCATTCTGCTTTTTATCTGATCATTTTCTTCCTATTAAATCCCTGCCATTGTTTAAATGCATGTGTTTTAGAAATCATTTCCCTTCCATAAAATAGAAGGTTGCTCTAAAAAGATATATGATGAAAAGCAAGTTACTGATTTCTACAGTAGCCAGGTTGCTAAGTTGAAGCCTGATATCCCCTTATTAAAAAGGGGATTAGTGAAATGATAAAGTAGCACATTGGCATTAAAGACACATTGGCAATGGAAGAAAAGGAGTCTTTGCCTTAATGTAATTAGGAGGATTGAAAAGGAATTTTCTCACCAAGCTCATCAATGTCAGGCCTGAGGACTGTTCTCAGTACCCCAATGGTGGGATATAGTTTGTGGTCTGCACTCTGCACTCTGGGAGGTCAGCCTGTGGCACTTGACCTCCTTAGAAATGAAATGGGAATAAGAGGGACCTATGTGGCTGGCAGGAGACCATGGCTCGCCTTGCAAACTCTGCTTCACTTCAGTCTGTTTTTGGCAGATCAAGTTTTATTATGTGTCTAACAGAATTTTGGAAACTCTGTCTTCCAGTAGTGAGATCTCTCTTTCTCCCCCACAGGAATCAACACTGAATGTGGACTTGGATTTCAAGCAGCCCTTCTTGGAGTTGAATCGAATCCTGGAAGCTCTGCATGAACAAGACCTGGGGCCTGCACTTGAGTAAGGAGGACCATGGGTGGGCTAGTAGCACTCTGTCATAGCCTCTCAGGGGCAGAACTTGTCTGTTGTCTTCATTTCACCCAGATGTGCTTGACATGCTTCCAGCCTTGTCTCAAGGGCCTCACACTCTTTTGGATCTCTTCTCTCAGATTCTGGCTGTGCCAGAGCCCGCTTTTTAGCCCTCACCAACATGGTTCCTTTCTTCCCAGATGGGCCGTTTCTCATAGGCAGCGCCTGCTGGAGCTCAACAGTTCCCTGGAGTTCAAGCTGCACCGACTGCACTTCATCCGTCTCCTTGCAGGCGGCCCTGAGAAGCAGCTGGAGGCCCTCAGTTATGCCCGGCACTTTCAGCCTTTTGCTCGACTCCACCAGCGGGGTATGTGCCTAGGCACTGAGGGTAGTGCTGCTGGGGTCCAGCTGATGTGTCAGTTTGCCAGTCCCTGTGCCCACATTGGGTTCTGACACCCAGATACCTCTCCCCAACCTGAAAAACTCTCTTTGACCCCTTATTGCCTCTGAGGTAAGCTCCACACTCAGTGCTCTTCTTCATCCACATCTGCGAAATCTTTATACTGTCATCTCAGACACATCAAGTCTCCAGTGCCTGCTGTGTGCCATACCTATACCCAGAGCATGCCATGCCCTCATGCTGCTTCCTCTGCCTCATATGTTTCTACCTACCTAGAAGGGCCCTGTTTAATAAGACTCACCTGAGCTTCTTCTCTGGTATGTTCTTCCTGAGTCCCCTTCCTTCATATTTGCATTTCCAAGCCTGTCCTTTGAGTCTTGCCTTTGAATGACCCATACTCCTCGACCAGGGATGAACCCAGGGCCACACATGCTAGGCAAGCACTCTACCACTGAGTACATCCCCAGCCCACAAGCAATGATTTTAAATTTTTGTTAGATACTGCTGCCTCCTGAAAGTGTCAAACATGGGATCTGCTTTTGTTAAAAAGGGAGATTAGAGTTGGTGAGTGGAGACATTTTGTGCTAAGTGGAGACTTGCTTTTGATGCAAACAGAAGGATGGAAAGAGGATTGGAAAGGGACTTCCTCCTGATTCCATGTTGGCAACACCTGTTCTTGATTTATGGCAGCAGCCCAGACTTCCCCTTCCAGCTGGTTTTAGAATCAGTTTTGCCTGAGGGTGTTTCAGTTCCTGCTCAGTCTGTCAAGGGGCCAGGGAGCTGCCTGAGGGTGTTTCAGTTCCTGCTCAGTCTGTCAAGGGGCCAGGGAGCTGCAGTGTTCAGTGGAGCTCACAGAATTGTGCTTCTCAGTCCTGCTGCCCTCCCCCCCAGGATGGTTCTGGAGCCCCTGCATCCTCTGAACTGCTGCTTGGTTGCCTTGTAGAGATTCAGGTGATGATGGGCAGCCTTGTGTACCTGCGGCTGGGTTTGGAGAAGTCGCCCTACTGCCACCTCCTGGACAGCAGCCACTGGGCAGAGATCTGTGAGACCTTTACCCGGGATGCTTGTTCCCTGCTGGGGCTCTCTGTGGAGTCCCCACTCAGTGTCAGGTATGACCCAGCCTGGGAGGGCAGCATAAGGGGGAGGGCTTAGAGGGAAACATGATTTTGCCAAGGCACTGCCACCTACTGGGATGCTTCTTGGTGTTTTCACCGAATCATCCTTTGAGGCAGAAATTCCCCGTTTTTACAGTTAAAATAGAGGGCCCTGCCTTGCCTGCACATCTCTCCTAGATTATGGCAAGACCCTCCCAATGAAGACAAATCCACGCCTTTGTGCAGCCCTGTGACCTTTTTGTTTCTTCTCTTAAACAACCACTTCCCTCAGGGGAGACTTGTGTGGTGGAGTAATGTGAATTTAGAGCTGTTGCTTAGAAGTCTCCTTCACAGTAATATCCTTCTATCCCAGCTTCACAATAACTCTGGGAATTGGAGGTACTGTTATCCTCATTTTACAGATGAGGAAGTGGCAGTTCACCATGGAATTAGCATGCCTCACAGAATAAAGGACACTTGGACTGACCCCAGAGCTATACTCCACCACAGTGGACAGCTGTCACATTGTTTTTTTTTTGCAGTACTGGGGATTCAACCTAGGGGTGTTCTACTCAGCTCTTTTTATTTTTATTAATTAATTAATTAATTAATTAATATTTTAGGTGTAGATGGACACAACACAATGCCTTTTTATTTTTATGTGGTGCTGAGGATGGAACCCGGGTCCCGCCTGTGCTAGGCGAGCTCTCTACTGCTGAGTCACAATCCCAGCCCCAGCTCTTTTTATTTTAATTAAAAAAAATTTTTTTTTTCACTGAGGATTGAACTCAGGGGTGCTTTACCACTGAGCTAAATAAATCCCTAGTCCTTTTAAGATTTAAATTTTGAGATAGGGTCTCACTAAGTTGCTGAGGCTAACTCCAGCTTGTGATCCTCCTGCCTTAGCCTCCTGAGTAGCTGGGATTACAGGTGTGTACCCTACTGCCCCAGCTTCACATTGCATTTTATTTAGACTGGTTATGGAGTTTTATACTGTTCCCCAATGTGGAAGACTGACTCCACTTTCATCTACTTTGTTACCATGGATTTGGATTATTATTTCCTGGCAAGAACACCACTGGCCTTTTGACAGGCTCTGTGCTGTACAGCACTACCCTATGCATTTCTAGAATTCATCATCCAAGTTCCCAACCAGTGAGCTCCCTATCACCCATGCGATGATTTTTGAGAACTAATCCCCCTTTCTCATTTTTCAGTATCCTAGATTATAGCCACTATCCTACTGATATACTGTGACAAGACAGTAGGATAGACTCTGTAAATGGGCTGAGGCCCTTCCAAATTGACTACTGTCCTCCAAATCACACCATGGAATTTTTTTAGTGCGTATTTACTGGGGATTGAACTCAGGGGTGCTCTACCACTGAGCTTCATCCCTAGCCATTTTTATTTTTTGAGACAGGATCTCTCTAAGTTGCCCAGGCTGGCCTCCAACTTTCGATCCTCCTGTCTCAGCCTCCCGAGTTGCTGGGATTACAGGTGTGCACCACCATGACCAGCATACCATTTTTCATTGGTTTGGATGAGCAGATATCTGCTCTGGAGCTTCTCTTTGTCTTTCTTATAGGTTCTCAAATTTTGGGGTGCATTAGAATGACTCTCTAGTTAGACATACCTGTCTACATACCTGTCTACATTTTATGAGCCACTGAGGGATTTTCAAGGACTGATTTCATCTCTTGCTACTTTTTAATCCTGTCTCAAGTCTCTTGCCAAAGACATGCTGCACCAGTCCTTTTGTCTGTCATCCAGGTCTCTGTGGTCTGAGCTACTCCAGCCCCTGCTCTTTGTTCTGCAGCTTTGCCTCTGGCTGTGTGGCGCTGCCCGTGCTGATGAACATCAAAGCTGTGATTGAGCAGAGGCAGTGCACTGGGGTCTGGAGTCACAAGGATGAGTTGCCGGTGAGGCCTGGTAGGGGGAGGCATTAGCACAAGGCAGGCACCAGGGAATACAGCCAGGACAGAAAATGGAACTCAATCCTTTGTCACCCTTTCCAGATTGAGATTGAACTAGGCATGAAGTGCTGGTACCACTCGGTGTTTGCTTGCCCCATCCTCCGCCAGCAGACATCGGATTCCAACCCTCCCATCAAGCTCATCTGTGGCCATGTCATTTCCCGAGACGCACTAAACAAGCTCATTAACGGAGGAAAGTAAGTCCCCCCGCCTAATTCTATCTTGACCAGGCTGCTCTGCTGGCCACCCCTGAGATGGTCTTGGTTCTCCCTTTGCAGGTTGAAATGTCCTTATTGTCCCATGGAGCAGAACCCAGCAGACGGGAAACGCATCATATTCTGATTGCTGCCTGGAAGGAACTTTGTTGGAAGGGGTTTTCTCCCATGAGCCTCAGTCTGTCTAGGGGCGGATGGATGAGTGGCTTTAGTGGATTGGAATTCATTTCAGAGGAACTGGCTGAGGAACACTACCATGGGGTGGAGCCTGTCCAAGCTTTTGGCAGAGGCCAAGAAAAGAGGTTAAGAGCTAGACTGGGCAGCTACCTCCTTGGCTATAAGGAAAGGGAAATGCTGGCCTCTGTACTCTTGCTGTTTATATTTGCCCCACTTAGCAACTGACAGAGTAGCAAAGGTCTTGGACATCAGCAACAATCTTCCACCCCCATCCTCAGCCATGGCTTTTACTGCCATGTGAAGGCTGTATCCACCTCTGCCTCTCAGCCTAGATCCAGCTGTGGCCAGCTCCTCCCACTGTATAGCCTCAACTGTATATCCATTCCCTGTTGTAAATAGTCCAAGTTAGAACTGAATGCTGTTGTTTTATAACTTTGAGCAAATATATTCACAGCTCTTCTCCTTACTTCTAGTCAGCCTGGAGCTTCACTGACAATTATGTACCCGCTGCACCATACATACTGGCATGGCCTGGTGGCTGCTAACAGAACCATGGTTAGCCAGATCATCTGGAAAGTCTGCCTCGGGGGAAAATGTGGGAGATGTGCAACCCTGGGCAAGGTGCTTTTATATATATGTGTATAAAATCTTATTAGAAATCACTGTAAGAGGATTTAAGATTAAGAGTTTCAACAGCTCTTGACCCAAGCATAAACTCTTTGCAGATTACCCCAGGGAGGCTGAAGACTGGTTGCTATGGGTACTAAATCCTGTGGTGAGGGAGTTTATAAGGCAGGGAGGGACCTCAGGTATGCAATGTTTGCAAAGGCCATTATGTTAAGAAGGAGAAAGGCCTGGGTTTGTATTTAGCTTCATATTAAATCTACTAGCCAGGTGCTGTGGGGCATGTCTGTAATCCAGTGACTTGGAAGGCTGAGGCAGGAGGATTCCAAGTTCTAGGTCAGCCTCAGCAACTTAGCAAGACCCTGTCTCAAAAAATAAAAAGGACTGGGGATGTGACTTAGTGGTAGACTGTTCCTGGGTTTAATCCCTAGTATAAGGAAAAAAAATTTACTGTTTTGAGGTTTTTCCCAGTAAGTTTTCCACATTTCTTTTTTTTCCCTACTAAGTTGCTGAGGCTGGAATTGAACTTTTGATCCTCTTGTCTCAGCCTCCTGAGTTGCTGGGATTACAGGTATACATCACAGTGCCCAGGGTCCACAATGGTTTTTAAAGCTCCTGGAAGAAAAGAGGAATGGGACATGGGCTGTCGCTTATGTAGTGGCTGCAGGCCCTGTTGCCTCATCTCAAAGCCTACACTTCTCCTGAAAATGAGAGTTGAAAGTTCTGGAGTACACAGGAAAATCAGTTCTCAAGCTGGGCACTGTGGTGCATGCTTGTAATCTCAGCTTCTCAACTACTCAGGAGTCTGAGGCAAAGGATTACAAGTTTGAGATCAGCTTCAGCAACTTAGACCTTGTGTCAATAAAAGGACTCAGGATATGGTTCAATGATAAAGCACTGCTGAATTCAATCTCCCTTACTACCCCTCACCCTCCAAAAAATCATTTCTTAGCTTAAACCCAAGCATGGGCCCTGAGTGACCAAGCATTAGCACTGAACATTCTTTGGGTTCTCTAGTGAGAAGGGATGCTTCCACTCTTTCCTGCCTGCCAACTCCTTGGCTACACCAGCTGCTGATGCTTTAAAAAAAAAAAAAAAAACCACCCACAGACTCATCACATTTTAGTCTTAGCATTTACTTCTCCCACTCCATATTCTTGGAACTCTCTTCATTGAAGCTCAACAGGAAGTGGAACTGATGGGTACCTTCAACAAACATCTGTTGGAGCTAGCGGAAGAATCCTCATGGAATTGGAAGATGCTATGAGGATGGGCAATCATCCTGGTACCAGTTCAACAGCTTCTGGAACAGGTGCCTAGGCTGCTGTCCAAGTCCTTCACAAGGGAGGTGGCAGGGCCTGCACTTCCTCCAAGCACTCATCATAGGCTTCTTGGTATTCCTCGTGGGGCTTGACCATTATCACACAGGTGGGGCGCTTGGAGCCAGCAGCTGCACCCAAGTCCTTTAAAGAAGAGGAAAAGTGAGGTGGTTTGGAAAAAAGCCTATATAGACCCCATGCCAGAGTCACAACTATATGACCAATTAGCCTAATATGGCCCACAGCTCTGTTCTACTGAGTACACATTGTTTTTAAAAACATTTCCAGCCAAGTACAGTGGTGGTGCACACCTGTAATCCAGCTACTCCTGAGGTTTAGGCTGAGGCAGGAGGATTGCAAGATCGAGGTCAGCCTGGGCGACTTACTGAGATCCTGTCTTAAAAATAAATGGCTGAGGATGTAGCTCATGATAGAGTGCCCCTGGTCTTAATTCCCACTACCATAAAATAAATAAAGGACTGAGGGTATAGCCCAGTGGTGGAGTACTTGCCTAGCATGCATCAGGCCCTGGGTTCAATCCCTAGTACTGGTGAAAAAAACATTTTCTTTGAATTGGCTGCCATCATTTAATCCCAAGCAAACTTTCAAGCCCTGGTCCAGCAACACTGGGCCTACATTCCCACATGGCTACTGTAAAAGGGCTCCAGCCTTGCAGGTGCTGTCCTCATAGGCAGGGTGGGGCCTGTGCTAAGTCTCTGCCATCTCCCACATCCTATGCCCTATACCTTATTCCTGCTATGGAAGGACAAGGATAGATACAGGTTCCAAAAACACCTACTCTGAGCATGAATCCACCTAACATAACTAACATGGATGCAGCATCTTAAAAGTTTATGAGCACTTTCATGTAAATCTGTTTTCATTCTCATGGACAGAGGAAACCCTCCAGGCATGGTGGCACACACCTATAGTCTCAGCTACATGGGAGGCTGAAGCAGGAGAATTGCTTGAGCCCAGGAGTTCTGGGTCAGCTTATATAATGTAAGGTGGTCCTGTCTCAAAAAAACAAGTGTAGAAATGTAACTTACCTGTCCCACAACTAAGAAGCAACGGACCAAGAAGGCACCAAAACCTGTTGTAATGCTTAAGGATATGAGTTCTTTCCCATTCGGCCTGCTGCTGCAGACTGCATTCTGGAACCCCTCCCCAGGGCTGACCAAGATATGTGTGTGTGTGGCGATGCTCCTTACCGTCTTAGAGGGGATATAGACATAGGGCAGATTCCGGTCTTCACACATAACTGGGAGATGGCAATACACCTCAATTGGTAACGTATCTCCTGCCAAAACCATGATCCTGAAATGAGAGAACCATCATTTCTAACTTGCTCTCTTCTTTCTTTCAGTCCTAAGTTCCACATCTGGCTAGGCCTTGGGAATAGAGAGATGAATAAGATGTGCCACCCCCAAGGAATCTACAGTTACTGATGTGGGCCTGCTAAATTCTGAAGGGAGTGCAAAGTTGTTGGACAGAGGCATTCATATGGGGAAGTGAACTCTACTTCTTGAAAGCATGTAAATGCCACCAAGTATGATAAATAGTACAGTGCTGGGATAGATGAAGTACTGCAGAAATGCCAAAGAATAAGAATTCAACTCTGAGGCTAGCAAGAGACACTTGAATGGACAGCTGAATAATGTCATGTAGCCAGTGACGGGGTAAGAGGTGTGGAAAGTGTAAGACTGAGGGAATCAGACCAATACCAGATATATAGAGGCTGGTTGTGGGGAGCCTGAGATATCTTTGTAATCTTGGGATAGGGAAGACAGTAGAAAACAAAGCTGAAGAGATCGGCAGGGGTCCCACTTATAGTCCTTTAAAGATAGGCTAAGAAGCATGAGCTCTAACCCAAAAGGGAAAAGTTTGCCAGAGAATGCTCTACTATGGTTCTAGCTACCAAGGTATTAGGGCTTGGGGCAAGGGCCTGAGAAAGCTGAAGACACAGAAGGAAGAGTACTCTCCCAAGGGTGAGTGACATGCAGATGTAGGAACCCTTGATTCAAAGTCCTGCTTCCAGGGCTGGGGATATAGCTCAGTGGTAAAGCGCTTGCCTCACATGTGTGAGGGACTGGGTTCAATCCTCAGCACCACATAAAAATGAATAAAGATACTGTGTGTTCATCTACAACTAAATAAATATTAAAAAACAACAAAAAACAAAATCCTGCTTCCAGGGCTGGGGATATAGCTCAGTTGGTCAAGTGCTTGCCTCGCATGCATAAGGCCCTGGGTTTAATCCCTAGCACCACCACCACCAAAAAAAAAAAAAAGAAAAAAAAAGTTCTGCTTCCACACCTCTAGTTTCCTTTTTGCCTCCTGCATTATATGTTCTGCAGTCTCCTCTTTCTTATTATTATTGGTACTGGGTATCAAACCCAGGGGCACTTTACTTCTGAGATACATCTCTAGCCTTTTTAATTTTATTTTTGGAATGGGATCTTGCTAAGTTGCTGAAGCTGGCCTCAAACTTGGAATCTTCTTGCCTCAGCCCCAAGCTGAGCTGCAGGCTTGGCTTTTTTTAGTACCAGGGATTGAACCCAGGGTTGTGTAACCACAGAGCAACATCCCCAGCCATTTTAATATTTTTTTTTTTTAAGAGACAAGGTCTTGCTAAGTTGCTGAGGTTTGCTTTGAACTTGCAATCCTCCTGCCTCAGCCTCATGAGCTGCTGGGATTATAGGCATGAATTACTGTACTAGTTTCAGGCTCTTCTTTAAGCAGCCTTTAACTGTTGGTGTTCCTCATAGCCTGGTCTATGGCTGCCTTCTCTCAGTATCTTCTCCCTGGATGACTCAATCCACTGCTCTTGTGTCAAGTGCACTACTCACTCCCATATCTATTCCCTCCAGTTTGGCTTTCTTTCTTCCATGCTCCAAACACATATAGCCATATCCCTGTTAAGCTGGGGATGGAGGGAAGTATGTCTCCGAGGCATCTCAAAAAGTTGCCTAAAACCAAACTTATGATCTTTTCACACTAACCTGGTCCTCCGCTGTTTACAACCTCAGAAAATGAGCCCTCTATCCATTTGGCTGGGAATGAAACTATCCATACCTCTTTAGTCTCCCTATCTGAATGTGCTCTCAAACCTAACTTCCTCCATCACTTCTCCTGGACAACAGTTGTCGCCTACTGGATTTTCCCATATCTTGCCTCTTAATCCTTTCTTCAATTGCTAGAAAAACCTTAAAGTGTAAACATAGTTTTTTCCCTTCCTGCCTTTAACCTTAAATGGCCACCCAAAGTTCTAAGAAAAAAAAGTAAACTTACATAACTCACAAGGCACCATGAGGAGGTTCAGCACTATACTCTTGCCCTGGGATCTACACTTTCAGCTGTCAGGACCCTGCTTCCCCAAATCAATCCTGTGTTGTCAGATCTCAGCACAAATGAGCCTGCTCAGGGAAGCTTTCCCTCATGCATCCCCACATGAACAACTAGGTCAGACTCTCCAGTGAGCATCAAATCCCATCACACACATTCTCTTTGCAGTGCTGGGGATCAAATCCAGGGTCTCACAAATGCTAAGGCAAGTGCTCTACCATGGAAACCAACGTTATCTTTTGAGCACCTACAGTGAACCAGAGACTTCTTTACAAAAACCAGTAAAAGGCCCTATTCTCAAGGTACTGTCTGGCCTGAGTGGGAAATACAGGGAATAAAAATATAAGTGTGCTTCAGATTCTGATAAACGCCAAAAAAGAAATAAGTAGGTTAATGAAGTCATTCTAATAGCAGCTTGCATTTTCCTCAATGACTATTATCCCAACTTGTAATTATTTTTGTGTGTGATTTTATGACCCATGTCATTGTCTTTCCACAACACAGTACTTGAAAACCAGTAGACTCAGTCTAACTAATGAATGAAGTCAGGGGTCCTAAGAGCTCTGACTTCCTTCTGGAATTCACTATGACCTTTCAAGTGATGGCTCGGTATCCGTGTTGAAGGGAGTTCATCTATTGCATGACTATTTATGTGGCTGGGTCAGAGTTAACCCTACCTATACCGAATACCTGCTATCAGTAGTAGCAGGCATTCAATAAGATATGCAAAATTGGGCGGAAGGAGGGTTCTTACCCTTTCTCGCCTTTGTTGACAAACTTCTGAACCTCCTTAACCCCGCGCCGAATTTGCTTCTGCTTCACCGCTGCAACGACAGAAGAATCAGTGGAATGCCGCGTCCAGCCGCCCGCGCCCCCTACCCGGGTCACGCCGGCGCCGACTATACCTTTCTTGATGCATTTATAGAGCTTCCGCGTGAGTCTGCGAGAAGCCAGAGGCTGCGCGATAGGGTTCAGATTGACCAGCAGCTCATGGTAAGTGCGCTCTCCGCAGCACGCTTCCGCCGGAGTCTCGGGTCCGTCGGGGTCTGCCTTTATTTTGGTCATCCCGGCAGCCACAGCAACCCAGACCCAAAGATGAATCCACGCGGCCCGCCGTCTCTGGAATTACTTCCGGGTCATCTAGCCATGCGCACACTATCACCAATTAGAAAATGAGGTCTCCGATTCAGGCCAATCATAAAGAGGGGGCGGAGTCTTGAGTCTAGGGGCGGGACCACTCTTGACTGATTAGATTAGGGGCAGGGCCAAGAGAACCTCTCTCTAGGGCGGGGCCCAGAGGAAAGAAGAGAGCGTAGGACGCCCACTTGTGTTTGTTTAGGGATGGGCGTCGCGGGCTTTGGGAACTGTTAGTGGAGGCACCTACGCTTGGTGAGGGCGTGAGCACGTGTTGCGGGCAGGATCCTTGCCTAAAGAGCGGAGTCTGCGACTGGGAAGTCTATACTCAATGTGATTCCAATACCTAGAACGTCTTTCTTCAGATGGGCAATGCGGTTCCCGAGCTGGCCCTGGGGTGTGTGTCCACAAGTTAAGGTAAAGCCGGATACTGCTAAAGCTTTATTCTGTTCTTGCATAATTTCTTTTTTAAAAAAATTTTTTTGATACTTTTTTCTTGCATAATTTCTCATCCTTTGTTTTCTTTTTCCTGGACGCCGTTGTGCATCTATGAAACAAACACACAGAGCTAGGGACAACCCCATTAACTGAACGCCTTCATCTGGACAGTTCTCTCCAGATTGCAGGTGGACCGCTTCCTGGGGAATCTGCCCAAATGTTACCCATGGAGGAGGTTCCCCTGATCACTTTATTAGCAATTTCAGTCTCCTCTCACCGCCCACAAGCTTTCCCTAACCTTTTATATTCCCCCTAATTCTTTTTTTTATTATTATTATTTTATTTTTTAGTTTAGTTGGACCCAGTACCTTTATTTTATTTATTTTTATGTGGAGCTGAGGATCTAACCCAGGGCCTCACACGTGCCAGGCGAACTCTCTACTACTGAGCCGCATACCCAGTCCTCCCCGTAATTCTTACCCCCTATTTCTTAGGGTATGTGAACACAGCTGAGTGTTGCCGTGAACCCTGCAGGGGAAAGAGATTTGGCGTGAGGGTAAGGAAGAGCTCTGAGTAATTGGTCAGTTGGAAGTTCTGTAGATTAGTGGACAGTTGACACAGTATTCATTTGTTTTTGGTACTGGGTATTGAACCCTGAGGTACTCTACCATTAAACCATCCCTTTATATTTTTTATTTTGAGACAGAGTTGGCCACTCTGGCCTCCAACTTGCCATCCTCCTGCCTCAAGTCACCGGAGTTGCAGGGATTAACCTGTGTGCTCCTCCATAAACAGTAGGAGGAATGTTAGTCGGATAACTGATACAAATTAAGTGCCTTTGATTGTGTGGTTTCAAGCCTGCTGTATTGACCTTTTAACCCTGGAACCAAGTTCAAAGTTATTAAATCAAAAACAAATTGGCAGAAGCTAGGCTTGGTCATTCTTGTAATCCCAGTGGCTTGGGAAGCTAAGGCAGAAGGGTTTCAAGTTCAAGGCCTGTTTTGAGACAGGGTTTCACCAAATTCCCCAGGCTGGGCTTGAACTGGTGCTCTTCCTACCACAGCCTCTACAGTTGCTGGGATTATAGGTGTGTGCCACCATACCTGGATCCTCCTTACTTCTTGAAACCCTGTTTGAAGTTACCTCAGCAATTTAGCAAGACCCTGTCTGAAGATAAAAAATGAGAGGGCTAGGGATGTGGCTCAGTGGTTATGGACCTCTGGGTTCAATCCCTGGTACCAAAAAAAAAAAAAAGAAAAGAAAAAAAGTTGGCAGCCAGGCATGATGGCACATGCCTATAACCAGCTACTCAGGAGGCTGAGTCAGGAGGTGAAATTCCAGCCTGGCAACTAAGGTAAGACCCTGTCTCAAAATAGAAAAATAAAAAGTGTTCGGGATGTAGCTCAGTGCACCCCTGGGTTCAGCCCCCACTACTGCTATGGAAAAAAAGGCTGGGAGGTAGCTCAGTGGTAGAGCACATGCAATGAAGCCCTGGGTTCAATTCCCATCACTCCTAGAAAGGTTTTTTTTTTTTAAGTGTTATTTTTATATTGTTATATTGTGTGCACGTATGAATATATAACAACAAATCCCTCTGTTCACCAAATGCACACCCCTCCAAAAAAATAGGAAAGAAAGAAAAAAAAGGAATTAAAAAAAACTTGTTGTCTTGCTGGGTGCAGTGGTGCATGCCTGTAATCCCAGCATCTTGGGTGGATGAGGCAGAGGATCACAAATTCAAAGCCTGCCTCAGCAACTTAGTCAGGCCCTAAGTAATTTAGCAAGACCCTGTCTCAAAATAAAAAAATAAAAAGGACTGGGGGATTTGGCTCAGTGGTTAAGCACCTCTGGGTTCAAAATTTTTGTTATTTTAATAAGAAAAATTATGCAATCCATACAATTTTAGATCCCCAAATAATTTTTACAGATTAAAAATAATGACATCAGTGAACATATTTAAGTAGTAAAAGGCAATTTGGAAATAAATAAGGTTTGTATTCACGATGTAACAACAAAATAAATCTTTTGAATGTTTGCCTTTTGGAATTTCTTGAGGAAAGATGACCCCTTCATATGTTTGGTAATCCGTGGTTACTGTCAGCTTTTGCTTTACTGTGGAAAACCTTGTTGTAGTACCATTTCCCATCCCAAATTTTCCTCATCCTTCTTTTTCCTCCTCTACTATCCTTTTTTTCTTCCTCCTTCCCCATACTGGAGATTGAACCCAGGGGTGCTCTAGCACCAAGTCACATCCCCACCCTTTTTATATTTTTATTTTGAGACAGGGTCTTGCAAAGTTACCCAGGCTGGCCTTGAACTTGGGACCTTCCTGCCTCAGCCTCCAGAGGCAGGAAGTGGCTGGAATTATAGGTGAGTACCACCACAACCGGCTCTTCTTCCATGTTGTAATTACAGTTCTGGTGCCACTGGGAAGCCTCCCCCATGTAGCCTGTGAGTCCTATGAAGGCAGCCCTGTGGCTTCTGAGTGTTCAGCTGATAGGACTCTGCAGAGTGGTTTTCTGTTTTTATCTTTGAGTGGTGTTCCAGCTGTACAAGAGGGATGGTAATGTGCCGGGTCACAGAGAGAAGAGCTGCCACATGTGTGCATGAAGCATGGTGAACTCTGTCTAGCAGAATGATGTAGAAGTTCATCCCCAGAAACCTAATTCAAGCAAATGTGTTTGACTGACCTCACCAAGGACTCAGTTGTGAAGGTCCCTCAGATCCTATATGGAAGGAAGAAGAGAATTAACATTTATGTACCAGCACATAATGTGTAATATCTGATTCAGTGCTCATAATCAAAATACCATCCTCTTGAGGCTCCTCAAGATGAGTGGGAGGGCTGGGGCTGTAGCTCAGTGGTGGAGCACTTGCCTCACACATGTGAGGCACTGGGTTCGATCCTCAACACCACATAAAAATAAATAAATAAAGATATTGTGTTCATGTACAACTAAAAAATATTTTAAAAAAAGATGAGTGGGAAATGTATTTTCATCTATGTAAAGCTGGATTTGAACCCAGGTCTGCTTGCCTTCAAGCCCTTTCAACTTTGCTCATATCTTGTGATTTGGCATTTGCCTCAAAAGACATGAAATCTTGATGGGGGAAGTTTAGGAAACTCAGCCTGGACCAGGTCACAAGTATCAGCTTTTTGAGCCAAAAGACAATGAAGTACCAAGAACAAATACCTCTACATCATCCAAAACCCAAACTCTTTATTTCCGAAGTTGAACTCAAGAGATCTGTATCAGATCCAAGGAGGTTTATGTGATTGTATTGATGTTAAGAGAATGGCCACTAGAGTTTACTTGAAGCAGTGTAGAGTGCGTGAGAACACAGTGCCTGAAGGATCCTACTCCTGAACGCTAAATGACCAGTGACTTTGAGCAAATCATTTAACCCTTCTGGGCTTCAGTGTTCAAAGTAAGGTAGGCCTAGAAGGATTAAGGTCTTCTGTTTAAAAGAATGAGGGATGGGGCTGGGGATGGGGCTCAGTGGTGGAGCACTTGCTTAATAAGCACAAGGCTCTGGGTTCAATCCCCAGCACCATACTTACACACCAAAGAGTGAAATAAAAGAAGTAGGGAGGATCCAGGTATGGTGGCACACACCTATAATCCCAGCAACTGTAGAAGCTGTGGCAGGAAGAGCACCAGTTCAAGACCAACCTAGGGAATTTGGTGAAACCCTGTCTCAAAAAAGGGCAAGACACAATGACCCATGCCTGTAATCCCAGTGATTTGGGAGACTGAGACAGGAGGTTCACAGATTTGAAGCCAGCCTCAGCAATTAGCGAGACTCTAAGCAACTTAGTAAGACCCTGTCTCAAAATAAAACACAAAAATGGTAGTGAATGTGACTTAGTGATAGATCACCCCTGGGTTTAATCTTTATGTTTCTGCCCCTCCCCTTCAAAAGTAAAACTACTATAAATATGTGTAGATTTTTGTGTTACTATAAGTTTTTAACTCCTTTGAGTAAAAAGAAATACAGTTGATAGATTTATGGTCAGAGTATGTTTGGTTAAGAAATTGCCAATTGCCGGTATTGGTGGTGCACATCTCTAATCCAGCAATTTGGGAGGCTGAGGCAGGAGGATCACAGTTTCAAAACCATCCTCTGCAAAAAGCAAGGCAATAAGTAACTCAGTGAGACCCTGTCTCTAATAAAATACAAAATAGAGTTGGGGATGTGGCTTAGTGGTTGAGTGTCCCTTAGTTCAATCCCTGGAACCCCTCCAAAAGAGAAATAACCAATTGTGTCAGGCACAGTAGTTCTCACCTGTAGTCCTAGTTCAAAGCCAGCCTCAGCAACTTAGTAAGGCCCTGAAGCAACTTAGCAAGACCCTGTCTCTAAATAAAATATTTAAAAGAATTGGGATATGGTTTTTTTTTTTTTTTTTTAAAGAGAGAGAGAGGAGGGAGAGAGAGAGAGAGAATTCCAATATTTATTTTTTAGTTTTCGGCAGACACAACATCTTTGTTGGTATGTGGTGCTGAGGATCGAATCTGGGCCGCACGCATGCCAGGCGAGCGCGCTACCGCTTGAGCCACATCCCCAGGCCCGGGGATATGGTTTTAATGGTTAAGCACACCTGGGTTCAATCCTTGGTACAAAAAAAAAAAAAATTCCCACCAATGAATGACAGTTCCTGTTGCTCTGTGTTCTCTGTAGCATTTTGTGTTGTCAGTGGTCATTTTGGCTAATCTAGTGAGTATATTAGGGTTAATTGGCTTTTTTAAAAAAATATATTTTTAGTTGTAGATAACTTTATTTTATTTATTTTTCTATGTGATGCTGAGGATTGAACCCAGTGCTTCACACATGCCAGGCAAGCTCTCTGCCACTGAGCCACAACCCTAGCCAAGTTGAATTTTATTTTCAAATCACAGTAGATGCAACTCTAGGAGCTGAAGTCAAATAGAAAAGAAACTGTTTAATTTTTGCAATTTATTGGAAATTTGTTATGATTC